GTTTAACCCACAGAGTTTTTTCACAGCAACAGAATGAACAGGCAAGTTGCAAATTTTTTGCACACCTTGCCTGTGACAGCGAACCAATGTGAAGAATTCACAAGCAATTCAATCAACTCTACAACATAGGAACAAGAACAAAATACCCCCATTAAAATGAGCAAAGGACATAAGTAGACATTTTTTAAAGAACATCTAAAGATGGATTCTACATATACAAACAATGCTCAACATCACTAACCATCAGGGAAATGAAAATTTAAGCCACAACAAGCTCTTGTCTAACACCAGTCAAAATGACTACTGCTAGAAACTCAAAAATATCAGATGTTGCTGAAGATAGATTGGAAAGGGAACTCTTAGACACTGTTGATGAGGATGTGGACAAATACAACTTCTGTCGATAATGGTATGGAGATTTCCAAAAATAAGTAGAAATAGACCTGCCATTTGACACAGCAATCCCACTACTGGGTAACTACGCAAAGGAAAATAAATCATTATTTCTAAAAGATACCCACACTTCTATGTTTACCACAAAACTATTCTCAATAGCATCTATGTCAACCTGAGTGTCACCCAACAGATGATTTTATGAAAGAATGTAGCATGTACACCCAATTCAATACTAATCAGCCACAAGAAAGAATGAAACTGTGTCTTTTGCAGCAAGATGCATAGAACTGGAGGACATTATACTTACTGAACTATAAGTGGGAGGTAACAATGTGTACACAAGGACATGGAGTGAGAAATGATGGACATGGAGACATAGAAGGATGGGAGGGTGGAAGGTGGCGGCGTGATGAGGCATCACCTGATGGGTACAATGTACATGATTTGGGTGTCAGTACACTAAAAGCCAAGGCCATGGTGTAATATATCCAAGTGCAAAGGATGCACTCATAGCTCTTACATTTATACAAATAAATGTGTAAACAAATACAATTAAAAATATAAAATAATTAACAGTTGACCAATGATCAAAAATTAAAATTTAATATATGATAAATAAATGAAATTAATATCAGTTGAACCTTATTAAATTTAAAAAATTTTTCCTTACTATATGGAAATGAATGCCAAGTTTCAAATGAGAACTCTTTGCAAATCATATAAGCACCAATGTAATTTTAATAAGAACTCTCAGAACTCAACTGCAAAAAAAAAAAACACACACACACACACACACAAAAATCAAGAAATAACCCACAGATAAACTAGGAAATGATTTCTGCCGTCATTTCACTGAAGAAGATGTGCAGATGACACAAAAGCATATAAACAGGCTCTCAACAGGATCTTTCATTAGAGAAATTCAAATCAAGCCCACAATGAGACACCACTATACACTTTTTAAATGGCTGAAATTAAGAAGAAATACAGATAATACCAATGCTGGTGAGCATGCCAGTTTCCTAGAGTCTACAACATTGCTAATGAGAATGCAAAATGAAACAGCTACTCAGGACAATGATTTTTAGTTTTTTTTAAATCAAAAATGCCCTTAACACATGACCTAAATATCCCACTTCTAAATATTTGCATCACAGAAATACAATCTTATATTCACACAAAACTTGTATTCAAATATTTAAGATGTTACGCATGTGTGTGTGTGTGTGTGCATTAGAAACTAAAAATAACATGAATGTCTCAAAAGTTGAATGGGTAAGGAAGTAGGAAGTATCTATCAATTGAATACCATCAGCAATAAAAAATAGCAAATGACTAACCATTACAGGTGGACTCCAGACATGAGGCTAAGTGAGAGAAGCCAGTCCCAAAGATCAAAGGGACACAGCTGTAGGTGCCATGGTCACCCTCAGGTGTCAGTGGTTTGGGCTGGGCTTTCTCTGTCACTTTCCTAACCAGGCCCAGATGTTGAGCTCAACCACTTGCAGACTGAGGTTCCATTCCTTCACAGATTGAACCAAACAAACATGGGACACTTTGAACAATGTCTGGCATTTGTTCCAACCACAAGAGAACATCCCCCAGCCCTCCCCCTTCTCGGTTCAGCCTGCATCTCCCACACATCCACCCATCTCCTTTCAAGGACCTTTCACGACACCCACCACTGCTTTTGAGAACACTGACAGGTTTTGAACCTTTCCACATTCTGTCATTACTGAAGTTAGGATGTTTGGAACCAAATTAAGGGTCATATTTTATGATTAAATGCCAGCACCCACTCTCTCCTGGGACAGAGCTCCTAACCAAGATTCTGCAGATGGAGATAATGATGAGCTTTTTTCCTCCTCAGCGTAGAAGCTGAGTGCTGAGTGGAGGTTTAGACAGAAGCTTCTCACCTTCTCAGCACTCCAGTTCTCGTGGGGTGAAGCCTCTGCCATAGGAGCAGAGCTAGAAATCAGGGACCCAATGTCCTGGCACTGGGCCCAGGGCAGAGCCTCCATCCATGATTGGGTCCATGGAAGAAGTGACTCTCTCTTTCTCATTAGCTTTTGTCCAGAACTGAGCCTCAGCATCGTGTGCTCTTGGCAGAGTCAGAGGGCCAATGTCCTGGCCCCTGGGGAAGAGATTCCTCCACGGGAGCTGGGTAGCAGGTGTCCTGTCTTCTTGGCTGCATCTGTCTGCAGTGGAGTTTACATCATGCTGAGCTGGGATGTGGAAGGGAGGAAGAGCATCTTAGATCTAATGTGATGACTGGCCTTACTGAGTTTTCTAAATTTTCTTGAATAAATGTTTTTTTACTTGCTGTATGCTGTTAGGGCCCTTCCAAACCCTGTAATTTTTCAAAATTATTTTCACTGGTCTCATGAGGGCATGGATTCATTGAGACCCTCATGCTTTCAAGGAGAAATGAAATTGTTTATTTTTTCACTTTTTAGAGAACATCCATAAATTATAAAACAATGAGTTGACTTTCCTTCCAACACTTTATAGATACCATCGACTTTCCTCTAGCTTGTAAGGTTTTAATCAGAAGAATGCTGTCATCATCTTTTCTGTTCTTTTGGAAGGAATGCCCCCTCTGTTCCCATCCACTTGCCTGAATGAATTTCTATTTGTCTTTGGTTTTCAGCAGTTTTAATAGGATTTACCTAAATGTGTTTGGGGTGGGGTACAGGGGTGTTATCCTGCTGTTCTTTATTCCTGAGATGCATAGATTCATGGTTTACTCTGTCTTTGTGTGGGGGGGAAAGTATTAGAAAAAAACAAGTCAGTGTGAGCCCATAAACAAGCCTCCCTGACGTGGGCACAGGACCACTGGGGGGCGCTCAGGACACACTGCACAAAAGCCAGCCTCAGGGCAGGGGCAGATGGGGCTAAGGCCTGGTTTCCTGTCACTCTGGCTTCCTCTCCATAAAATAGTTTCCTCTGGGGCACTTCTCTGGATTCCTTATCCTGTTCTTACCTGTGAAGTCTCTGAAGAAGAAACATTTGTTGTAACAAGAGAAAAACTTTCTCACATGTGCCAAAGGCAGAGTCACCTACAGTCACTCCTATTTCTCAGTGTCTATAAGTTACCAGTGCTTCTGAAGTTAATCAGCCATATCTATAAAAGATGCGGCACTAAAATCAACATGGCACATTCTGTTTAATGAATCAACAACAATAACATTTCAGTTTTAATACTGGATTCTGCATCACAACCAGTGCTTCTTGCTGGATCTGGATCAATGAGCCCCAGGGGAGGGACTGGAGTTGGTCAGGTGCACAGGTCATGAAGGGAGCAAAAATTCCAACCCACTCCTCTAGGGTCCAGTCACCGCCTCCAGATCTGTGTCCAAAAAACGTATCTTCCTACAGCTGAGCAATGTGAGCAACAAGCACACAACCATGTGTTTTCAAGCAAAAGACACAGTGTGGGGGACACCGGTGTGAACCCAGACACACACCTTCCTGTGGGGGTTCACAGGACAGCAGGGGGTGCTGAAACAGAAGCTGAAACTCAGGAACCAGCAGGGAAACCCAGGGGGCACTTGGCACCACGTGGGGGCTCAAGACCATTGTGGGGCTCGGTGGTCAGTCAGGCTCAAGGCTCAGCATCAGGGCAGGTGCAGCAGGCAGGGAAAGGCACTGGAGATGGGGTTTTGTGGCATCTTCTCATTCTACCACTAGACACCCTCCACTACATCTACTCTAATGGGTATGAGTGTTTACGTGTTTGGAAACTAATATTTATATTATAAATATATAGCCATACGAGAGTGCATCAAGCTACCCTCTTCAACTTACGTGGACCCTGTTCATTAGGAATAAGTTCCTGTATTTGAAGATTTCATAAGTTAAAGATGATGTAGAAACACTTTCTTTTTCAATCTCCTTTCCTCACTCTTACTTTCTTTCTTTCACATACACTGATAAATACACAGGGTGCTATAACTTCAATTACATGATGAATTTTAAAGAAAACGGATTCATTTGCAGCTTGACCAGTTTAGCTGTTGTTCATGTTGTTGTAAGATTAAGGACATGTTTCTCAGCTGTGTAGTCCTCTAAGCTGAGCAGCAGCTTTGTCTGAAATACACAGAAACTGAAAATAATCAAAATATTAATCAGCAGTTTTATCAGTAAACAAATTTTGGGAAAGTCATATATTGGCATAGTACCCACTACTACAATTAAATAATGTTGGATACAATCAACAGCATGGTTAAATTCACAAGTACTTACGACAGGTATAATGAGCCAAAGCACATACATATAATTCAATTTTATAAACTGTACAAATTGAATATTTATTGCAAATTACATCACAAAGATCCCAAACTGACTTCTCGGATGTGAACTCTTAGACATGTGACATGGCTCTTCCACACTTGGGGGTTGACATTCACATGTGTAAATGTAGGAAAATTTGACTCCCACAGAACATACTTCTTGTGCATCTAAAAGTAGAAATGCTAGTGAGAATTATTTGTGAAGTATAATCACTCACATCCACTCTGGGATACAGCTCCTCTGGGCATCCCTTCTAGAACTCGCTATATAGGAGGAGACATGCAAATAGGGTCTGCCCTATGCTGATGAAAACCAGCCCAGCCCTGACCCTGCAGCTGTGGCAGAAGAGCCCAGCTCCGGGATTCCCAGGTGTTTCCATTCGTTGATCAGCACTGAACACAGAGGACTCACCATGGAGTCTGGGCTGAGCTGGGTCTTCCTTGTTGCTATTTTTAAAGGTGATTTATGGAGAACTAGAGTTACTGAGTGTGTGTGGACATGAGTGAGGGGAACAGTGGGTTTGTGTGGCAGTTTCTGACCAGGATGTCTCTGTGTTTGCAGGTGTCCAGTGTGAGGTGCAGCTGGTGGAGTCTGGGGGAGGCTTGGTCCAGCCTGGGGGGTCCCTGAGACTCTCCTGTGCGGCCTCTGGATTCACCTTCAGCAGCTATGAGATGAGCTGGGTCCGCCAGGCTCCAGGGAAGGGGCTGGAGTGGGTAGGTTTTATTAAAAACAAAACCTGTGGTGGGACAGCAGAATACGCCGCGTCTGTGAAGGGCCGATTCACCAACTCAAGAGATGATTCAAAGAACTCGCTGTATCTGCAGACGAGCAGCCTGAGAGCCGAGGACACGGCCGTGTATTACTGTGCGAGACACAGTGAGGGGAGGCCCGTGTGAGCCCGGACACAAACCTCCTGCGGGGGCGCGCGGGGCCACCAGGGGACGCTCGGGACCACTGAGGACGGGGCAGGTCCCAGGAGCAGGTGCAGGGGGAGGTTTCCTTTCTCAGACGCAAGAAGTGGATTTCTTTTTGCAGGTCCCTGGAGTCTTATAAGTTTACAGTATTTTATTATTTTTAGTTATAATATATTTATAATATACATATGTAATATTTTCATGGATGTTTGTGTTTTTGTAATTTTAAAATTTTTATGTAGGGGTATTTTTAAAGATATATACCTTCAAGAAATAATTCTTCCCAGTTATTTGCACTTATTCTTCTAGACCTTTATTAACATCTGTCGATATCAGTAACTACATAGCTATAGGGACATTAATTTACATCTATAGACATATATGCTAATACACAAACCTACACGTACATGTGTAGTAATTTATATTTAACATTATAATTGGACCATTCTAAAATATGTCCTAAAGAATTAACCTTAATGATAAACTAAATATAAATTACTAGAGTTATCTATAGTTGATTTCAATGATTCTCTATGGTTTACATAAATTGATGTCTATTTGTAAGCTTAAATATAATGTATTGGTCATTTAAAAAGTCAAGAACAAATTTCAAACGTTCTAGTCACAAAAATGATAAAGATTTGTAAATTTGAGGTATGAATACACCTCAAAAATAGCAAAAGTAGTCACTACCAAAAAAGGTCTATAATGTTACATTCCATGTATATGAAGTTCAAAACAGAAAAACATGGATTTACAGTGCCATAAATCAAAACACTTCCCCATGCAGGAGTTGACCATAGTCACAGAGAGGTAATATATGTGTCGATTAGTTTAATTCAGTTATTCCATATTGTATTCACAAATTATAACATAGCTTTGTTCCCCATAAATATATACAACCAAAATTTCCCATTTTTTAATG